AAAAAAAAGAAAAATAAAGTAAATACTAAAAAAATAACATGAAAAAAAAAATAATAGTTCGTTATTTTTGGATTAGGATATAAAGCGTTTGAAACTATACATAAAAATATCATATAACGGGTTATAACAATTTTTTGAAAAAAAAGGAAAACTATACAAAATTTTTATCGCGAGATAATGAATGATAAAAAAAAAAAAGAAATGAAGTAAAAAAAATATTTACGAGAAGAAAAGAGAAAAAAAAAAAGTAAAAAAAAAAATAATAAAATTGATTTCATGAAAAAGATATTTATAAATATCTTAAGCATAGTAAAAAATTATAATAAGTTGTTTGTTTGTACTATAATATATTCCATACGCATATTTTCCACGCCAAACAGTTATTATTCCACAAATGTTCGTTGTAAGAATTAAGAAATAAAAATCGGTCGAAAGTAAAAAAAAAAAATATTACATTATAAATTTTGTTTGCGTCACATTTTTTCGATGTGTTTGAATTTCCTTAAGATTATTTAAGGTTGCTGTAACGATTGAAGGCTACCAGTCTGTTGGTAAGTTTGCAAAAATGGAGTGAAATTACTAAACGTTCTTGTAGATGCGTTCTTTTCTTTTCCATTTGGTCGATGCACGCGTACGTGTTGACTTAAATTATCAGATCTTGAAAATCTTTTTGTACAATGTGGATGCGGGCAATGGAAAGCTAAAAAAAACAAAAAAAAAAAAGAAAAAAAAAATGTTAGAAAAATTTTCAACTTATTGGTTAAAAGAGGTGATTCTATTTATACTTACGTCTCTCAAGGGTATGTATTGATCGGATATGTCTCTTTAAATGTTCCGACCTTTTAAAAACTCTACCACAACCGGCATAAGTACATTCGAAGGATTTAGTTCCAGGTTTTGTTGGCTTGTTTGTCATACGTCTGCCTCTTGATTTACCGGTAGTTTTTTGTGGTGGAGAAGGTAAAGATGATCCCATGAGTTGGTAATCTTGTGGTTCTTGAAGTTGCATCCCTGAAATTGAACTTGTTGTAGAAGAGGTAGATCTACGACCTCTACGTTTCGTTGTCGTTGATGGTGGAGAATCGATCATAACTTGATTAGTCATCATATCTCTTTCTTCACTCATAATGTTATTATGTTGTTGAAATTGATGATGTGAAGAGATTGATGATAAACAAGTAGAAGTTAAAATAGGTGATTGATCATGAGGTGAATCGATAGGAGTAATTGGAGTATTTTGATTACAATTAGTAAGATCAGGGCAAGAATCAGAACTTAAATTTCTTGACATATTAAGGAATGATATATCAAAAGGTTCGGAATACTCCAACTTTATTTTTGAATCATCCATGTTGTACATATAATCGCTCTCAGGTGATGAGCAGGTCGTGGCTTGTGTCATTAAACCATATTCCATCATATTATCAGCGAGTAATTCAGTGAAAGAATTTATTCTTGGACCACCCATAAGATAATTTTCGAAATGGGCTTCTTTTTGATGATGATGATGATTATAGGTTGTTGAATTTGAGATGATTGAAATAGGGGTCGCCATAGAACAAATCTCATGAAAAGACGATGGGTCATTGAATTCGATTGGAATATTATTATATACCATTTTTGTCGTTAATAAAAAAGTCGTTTTGAAAAAATGATTTGTTTTTTTTTTTTTTTTGTTATCGTTTCCTAAGTTAAATCTGATTAATTCCTTTAATTAAAAAAATTGATTTGATTTGATTTGATTGGTTGTTTCTTTACTTTGTTTGTTGATTTTTTTCTTTGCCGGTTTGAAACTCAGCTTTAACAAAAGAAGATAATAAAAGTTATAAAAAGCGTTCGTATATAAAAGAGTTTCTTTTAAAAAGAAAAAGCGAGACGAGATAAAAATAAACTATTCAAAAAAGTATTTGGTCTTTAAAGTCATTAAAAAACCAAGTTATTTAAAAAAGAGATTTCGTAAAAAATAACATACGAAAAAAAAAAGATAAGAAAAAAAGTAATCAAAACTATTGAAA